TTGAAAGGTCTTAGCGAAAAGAGATTCTCAACAATACTACCTATGTCACCTAAAAGATATGATGCCAAGTATCTTGATCCACGGAAAATTAGTCAGAGGGGGATGTAAAATCCAAAATTCGTCATTTGAGTGCGTTGCACGCATTTCGATGCGCCGCGACGAACTTAAGTGAAATTTCAATGTTGTCAGAATTCGATGAAATAAATTTTATTAAATTTGTCACAAAATTTTGATCGAAACGATATAAAGAACTTATATCCATTTTCAAACGGTTTTGAAACTAAACTTCGCTGAAGATTATTTAAGTAATATTTAGCCTCATCTTCCATTTTTTTCCCCTAGGAGTTCTTAATGAAAATGATACTAGTAAGGGTACATGCGTAATTACCCTCTCAACAATTCTCTAAAGCCCTCACATTGCCTAAGGGACCGATTATTTCAGTCACTTGTGTTATTTTGGCCGAACCGAAGAAGAGGGCGACGGGAGAGAGGGGTAAGGCGACAGAAGGAGCTCGTTGGTCGGCGGCCGGCAGGTTTTCCGGCGAGAACCTTTAGGAAAAATGTAAAGGGAGGCTTGGAGAAGCTAGGAGGTAAGTTCTTTTTGAAGAATCTTGTCTTTTTCTTGAGTTTTTCTTGAAGTAAGAAATCTAGGGTTTGGATTTTCTTTAGCAAACCTTTAGAGCTTGCTTAGGAATATGTTTTTAAGTAAATTGCAAGAAGATTTCTTAAGGGAAAACCTAAAATCAGAAATTATGGTTTCTTGATTATGTTTTATTTTTGTAGGGATTGTTGGAAGAATGTATGGGAAGGGTTTTGGTATAAGAAAATGCAATGTTTTCTAAGATAATTTGATTTTAAAAAATTAGGATTTTTCCTAACTTAGGGTTTTTAGGTTTGCATGTTCACTAAAACTATTCCTAAGAGTTTAGGGAGGTCTCTAAATGATAGAAATTGAAATTTTGAGAAAAAAATAATTTTCTTAATTAAAATATGCTTTAATTCTAAAAATAATAATGTCTTATTTATATGTATAAGGAAGGGGAGTATTTTAGAAGAAATAGAATGAAATGAATGAGATTTTAGGTCCCCATAATTTAGGTTTTATTAAAATCCGAAATTAATTGTTGTAAAATTTAATTATGTGTGGGAATGAGGATGTATTAACTTAAGGATATAAGTAGGAAGAGAATAGGGAGCTTGTAAAAGAATTTTATGAGGGGATTAGTGAAATATAAAGGTTTATTTTGGCAAGAAGTTTATGTTATGTTATTTTCTTTAGGTTATGACTTGAAGAAGCACAAATAAAGAGGAGGATTTCATAGTATTTGGAGGTAGGATTCTTTTTTTTATATGTTCACTTGATGTTTTATGCTTATATCACTTTATATGTTAAGCCCTTATGACATTGATTTATAGAAATGTAGTGCATGTTTAGCAAGATGGGGAGGCTGAGAGATGGTGGAGAGGACAGCCATTGGAGAAGTTTGGTGGTAGAGCAGCTTCTCAAATCTTATGGGATGACTTTGTGAAAGTCTTTAGAGACTGGTTCGTGCGTTCTTCTACGAGGAGACAGATGCAAGAAAGATTTATGCGATTGGTGCAAGGGGATCGGACAGTCATACAGTATGAAGCTGAGTTTATCACGCTGTCCCGTTATGCCTCTCAGATTATTGTAAGTACTGAGGACAAGTGCCATAAATTCTTGTCAGGGCTTCGCTATGCTATTCGTCAGCCATTAATTTCCTTTAGCTTTGATGATTATGCAGTATTGGTGGAAAAAGCAAGGATGATAGAAATTGATTTTTTGGCTACCCAAAAGATGAGAGATTTCCAATAGAGGAGGAAGAGCTTTGAGAAGACCAGGAGCTTTCAGACTCATTCTGGAGGTTCTAGTATGAAGAAGACCAGAATTGATAGTGGTGGGAGTTCTTCGAGTGCTAGAACTTGTGATAAGTGTGGCAAGATGCATAGAGGCGAATATTTTTCTGGCTCCAATGTTTGCTTTTGGTGCCATCAGCTTGGGCATATGGCTAGGAATTGCCCAAAGGGTCCAAGGGAGGGGAGGTCTAGTGCTCCACCTCAGCAGAGTACTGGGAGACATCCTACTATTGGTAGACCGAGAGCTCAAGAGTCTACTTGTTCTTCTTTAGTGCCTAGTCATCCGGTTGCAAGACCTGTTATGCAACCAAGGGTTTATGCCATTACACAGCAAGAAGTCAAAGAATCTCCTAATGTGATTGCAGGTATTATTCATGTCCAATGTTTCCATATTAGAGTACTTTTTGATACTGGAGCATCGCATTCATTCATTAGTCAGGAGTTCATTAAGAAGCATGCATTGAATGTCTACATGATGCCTACTACATTAACAATTTTGTTACCTGATGGGTCCAATATGACTGCTACGAATATGTGTTCAACGTTTCTTACAATCTGTGAGAAGGAGTTTGATGTTGTGTTGATAGTATTACTTCTGTTGGAGTTTGATGTGATTTTAGGGATGGATTGGATGTTAAATCAATTCATCTCCATTGAATGCAAGAAGAAGGTGGTGAAGATCAAGTTTCTTGGAGGAGAGAAGCTTGTCTTCCAAGGCGATCGAGGTGTATCTTCTATGATCATCTCTTCTATGAAGGCTTGTAGTTTAATTTTGAAGGGGTACCCAAGCTTTCTAGCTCATGTAAGGGACACTTTAAAACAAGTACCAGAGTTGAAGGAGATTACTATGGTAAGAGACTATCCTGATGTGTTTCCTGAAGTCTTACCTAGAATGCCTCATGTTAGAGAGATTGATTTCTCAATCGATCTTGTGCCAGGTGCTGAGCCTATTTCAAAAGCACCTTATCGTATGGCGGTTAAGGAACTTCAGGAGTTGAAGTCTCAATTGCAAGAACTGCTGGAGAAGGGATTTATTCGCTCTAGCACTTCACCTTGGGGAGCACCAGTTCTCTTTATAAAGAAGAAGGATAATAGCATGTGACTCTATATCGATTATAGGGAGTTAAACAAGCTTACCATTAAGAACAAGTACCCTTTGTCATGAATTAATGACTTATTTGATCAGCTAATGGGTGCCACAGTCTTTTCCAAGATTGATTTGAGTTTTGGATATTATCAGTTGAGAATTAAGGAGGAAGACATCCCTAAGATATCATTTAGCTCAAGGTATGGACACAACGAGTTCACTGTTTTACCTTTTGGGCTAACAAATGCCCCAGCTGCTTTTATGGATCTAATGAATCAGGTCTTCAAGCCAATGTTAGATAGTTTTGTCATTGTCTTCATAGATGACATTCTTATATATTCTTGTAATGAAGAACATCATGCCAATCATCTCCTAGCAGTATTGCGAACTCTAAGAGGCAATGAATTATTTGCCAAGTTCTCTAAATGCGAGTTTTAGCTGAAGAATGTGACTTTTCTGGGTCATGTCATTAGTGGAGATGGTATTTCTGTGGACTAGCATAAGGTACATGCTATAGCTGAATGGCCAAGACCTATGATAGTGACTGAGATACAGAGTTTTCTTGAGTTAGCTAGTTAATACATAAGGTTTGTAGAGGGGTTTTCCAAGATTGCTGCACCTTTGAGTAGATTGACTCAAAAGATAGTTAAATTTGAGTGGAGCAGTCAGTGTGAGGAAGCCTTTCAAGAGTTAAAGACTCGTTTAATGACGGCACCAATTCTTACGATTCCTTCAGTTATTGAGGGATTTTAGATTTTCAGTGATGCATCGCTAAAGGGTTTGGGATGTGTCTTGATGCAACATGGGAGAGTAGTTGCCTATGCTTCTAGGCAATTGAAGAGTCATGAGAAGAACTACCCAACCTATGATTTGGAGCTTGTTGTTGTAGTCTTTGCATTAAAGATTTGGAGACACTACTTATATGGCATACATTATGAAGTGTTCACTGATCACCATAATATGAAGTATATCTTTTCTCAGAAAGAGCTGAACTTAAGGCAGAGGAGATGGATGGAACTGCTTAATGACTATGATTTGAACATTCAGTATCATCCGGGAAGAGCCAATACTGTTGCTGATGCCTTGAGTAGAATATTGCCAGTGAAGTTAAATAGTTTACTAACTCAACAAGAGAAGCTGATTAAAGAAATGGATAGATTGGAGTTATCATTAGTACTTCCTACAACTGGAAATGTAGGATGGTTGAGTCAGTTGACTGTGTAAGCTATTTGAAGATTATGATAGCTGAAGCTTTATGGAAGGATCCAGATTTTATGAAAATGATTCAGTTAGTAAAGGCTTGGCATGAAGAGGATTTCATTCTTGATGAGGACAATCTCCTTTGGTATAAGGGTAAGGTTTGTGTACCTAATGTTGATGACTTGAGAAAGGATGTTCTTTATGAAGCTCATCACTCTGCTTACACTATCCATCATGGTAGTAGTAAGATGTATCAAGATCTTAAGGGTTTATTTTGGTGGCCCGGAATGAAGAGGAGTGTAGCTAATTTTGTTGCTAAGTGTACTACATGTCAGTTGGTGAAGGCTGAACATCAAAGGCCAAGTGGATTACTTCAACCCTTAGCTATTCCATAGTGGAAGTGGGATGACATTGCTATGGATTTCGTGTCAGGTTTACCCCGATCACGACAGGGTCATGATGCTATTTGGGTTATCATTGATAGACCTATAAAGTCTGCTCACTTTTTGCCTATCCGATTGACTGATTCAGTTGAGAAGCTAGCAATGCTGTATGTGTCTGAGATTGTATGATTACATGGTGTGCCTAAGTCCATAGTATCTGATCGAGATGATAGATTTACTTCTAGACTTTGGAGGAAAGTACAAGAGGCTATGGGCACCAGATTGACATTTAGTACCCCCTTCCATCCTCAGACTGATGAATAAACAGAGAGGACTATTCAAACTCTTGAAGATTTATTGAGATTGTGTATTCTTATTTTTGGTGGAGGTTGGGAATCTCATATTCCTTTGATAGAGTTTACCTACAACAATAATTTCGAGCCAGCATAGGAATGACTCCTTATGAAGCCCTATATGGAAGGAAATGCAGAACACCTCTTTGTTGGGCAGAGGCAGGTGAGAGAAAGGTAATTGGATCAGATCTAGTTGATGATGCCACAAGCAAAATCAGATTGACCAGGGTTAGGTTGCTAGCAGTTCAAGATAAGCAGAAGAAGTATTATGATACTAAGCACCGGTTTGTGGAATTCAATGTGGGAGTTTTATTTTCATAAAGATTAGGCCTATGAAGGGTGTACTTCATTTTGGGAAGGTTGGCAAACTCAGTCCCTGCTACATTGGTCCTTTTGAGATAGTGGAAAGGATTGGAAAGGTAGCCTATAGATTGGCTTTACCCGCTACATATGCTGTCCATAATGTGTTCCATGTTTCTTTACTGATGAAGTATATATCGGATGATCCTTTTAAGATCATAACGGAAGATGTGGTCTTACAGTCAGATCTTATATATGTTGAAGAACCGGATCGTATTTTGGAGTTCAGTGTGAAGCAATTAAGAAGTAGAGAGATACCGTTCATGAAAGTTCTATGGAAGCATGGATTGGAAAAGAATGCAATGTGGGAGGAGTCAGAAATGAGGAAATGCTATCATCATCTCTTTGAGTAAGGTATGATTATTTTTCCCCTCTTTTAAATTTTGAGGACAAAATTTTTATTAGGAGGGGAGAATTGTAAAACTCGAAATTCGTCATTTGAGTGTGTCGCATGCATTTCGATGCGCAGCGACGAACTTAAGTGAAATTTTAATATCATCGGAATTTGATGAAATAAATTTTATTAAATTCATCATGAAATTTCGATCGAAACGATATAAAGAACTTATATCCAATTTCACACGATTTTGAAATTAAAATTTGCCGAAGATCGTTTAAGTAATATTTAGCCACATCTTCCATTTTTGCCCCTAGCATTTCTTAAGGAAAATGATACTAGTAAGGGTACATACGTAATTACCCTCTCAACCATTCTCTAAAGCCCTCACATTTCTTAAGAGACCGATTATTTCGGTCCCTTGTGTTATTTTAGCCGAACCGAAGAAGAGGGCGATGGGAGAGAGGGGGAAGGCGACGGGAGGAGCTTGCTGGTCGACGGCTGGCAGGTTTTTCGGTGAGAACCTTTAGGAAAAACGTAAAGGGAGGCTTGGAGAAGCTATTAGGTAAGTTCTTTTTGAAGAATCTTGTATTTTTCTTGAATTTTTCTTGAAGTAAGAAATCTAGGGTTTGGATTTTCTTTAGCAAACTTTTAGGGCTTGCTTAGGAATATGTTTTTAAGTAAATTGCAAGAAGATTTCTTAAGGGAAAACCTAAAATTTGAAATTAGGGTTTCTTGTTTATGTTTTATTTTTGTAGGGATTGTTGGAAGAATGTAAGGGAAGGGTTTTGGTATAAGAAAATGCAATGTTTTCTAAGAAAATTTGATTTTAAAAAATTAGGGTTTTTCCTAACTTAGAGTTTTTAGGTTTGCATGTTCACTAAAACTATTCCTAAGGCTTTAGGGAGATCTCTAAATGATAGAAAATGAAATTTTGAGAAAAAAATAATTTTCTTAATTAAAATATGCTTTAATTCCAAAAATAATAATGTCTTATTTATATGTATAAGGAAGGGGAGTATTTTAGAAGTAATTATAATTAAATGAATGAGATTTTAGGTCCCCATAATTTAGGTTTTATTGAAATCCAAAATTAATTAATGTAAAATTTAATTATGTGTGGGAATTAGGATGTATTTACTTAAGGATATAAGTAGGAAGAGAATAGGGAGCTTATAAAAGAATTTTATGAGGGGATTAGTAAAATATAAAGGTTTATTTTGGCAAGAAGTTTATGTTATGTTATTTTCTTTAGGTTATGACTTGAAGAAGCACAAATAAAGAGGAGAAGAGGAGGATTTCATAGTATTTGGAGGTAGGATTCTTTTCCTTACATATTCACTTGATGTTTTATGCTTATATCTCTTTATATGTTAAGCCCTTATGACATTGATTTATAGAAATGGGATACTTGTTAAACATGCACTACATTTACTTCATTGTTTCTTTCATGATTAAGACTATGTTAAACAATCATTACATGTTATTTATTTCATGTTTTGAAATACATGTCAAACATTAGTTCATATTTGAAATATATGAAATCATATGGAAGGAAAGAATGTATACTCATATGAAAAGAATATAGAAATGATTGTGCATGATTGATTACGGAGTACCAAATATGGTGCAAAAGCACATATGAGCAATACGAGAACCTTATGGCCCTTGGGGCAAAAGAGAAAAATGAATAAATGGCCAAAAGAGGTTTGTGTACCTGATCAGTATTAGTTCATATTTGAAATATATGAAATCATATGAAAAGGAAAGAATGTATACTCATATGAAAAGAATATAGAAATGATTGTGCATGATTGATTACGGAGTACCAAATATGGTGCAAAAGCACATATGAGCAATACGAGAACCTTATGGCCCTTGGGGCAAAAGAGGAAAATGAATAAATGGCCAAAAAAGGTTTGTGTACCTGATCAGTACACCCCTGGTACTCCGGGACGGTTGCATATGATAAATAAGTAAGCATATGAGATTGCATTCATTTCATGGTATATATATGTACATGGCATACCTAAATTATCTCTCATTCTTAAGATAAATAAATTAGCATGTGTAGGAAAACAAATACAAGCGAGTCCCCATTAGTTAAAAAAATGTAAATATTATTTTTTAAGTCATGTGAGCATGTTTAGGATTAGAAATTCCTATTGAGTGTTAGCTCATTCCCTAGTGTTGGGATGCTTTTTAGAAGAACCTGCAACAAGAAATGGCTGACAACCTGAGGTTTACTTACAGTCGTCGTACCCCATGTGATAGGTTCTTTTACTGTTTTTACTAGTAGTAGTTACCTTACTTTTGGGTGGCTTTGTCATAGCATGAATAGTTAGAAGTTTTGGCCACCTTGTATATATTATGAACTCTCTTTTGAAATGAAATGAAAATGTTTAGAGGCGCTTTATGTTATTGAAGTCTTTTTAGAAATTTTTATTAACATGTAAGAATATTAGTGATTGTTCTGAACGTCCGTTTTTGTTCCCGCCTTGTGTATACGAGCTAACCGGGCCGGATCGTGACAGGGGAGATGTAGGTGGATGTCCGATGATTCACTAATGTCCGTAGGGTAGATGTTTTTCGATCGAAGGTGCCAAGGTGAATAGGATGCGATTGACGTAATGTTCGACAGAGTCGTCAACTTCCAAATTGAGGTCGGAGAAAGGGGATGAAATAATATCCACTAAACCTTGCGGGTCGTAGACGAATCCATGGTCAAGCTCGGGATCGACCATGCACTAGTAAGAAAGTTGGGAAGGGATGAATGTCTTCTTCTCTTGGAAGATATAACTCATGAAAGAAGAAAATCCAAGAGGCTGAAAGAGGGAGGGAGTGACAACCAAGGGAGGGGAGGGGTTTGTGAAGTTAGGGTTAGTGTTTGGAATATGGCAAGGAAAATGAAATCTTAATTTAATTTCAGATTTAGTTGAAAGAGAAAAGGGGTTTGAATTTTGAAAATTGAATTTCAAATTCAAATTAGCGATAAGGAAGTAGAAAGAAAGGAGAGAGGGTAAGGGGGGCCGACGACATATATGGGGAAAGAGAGGCTAAGGGAGGGAATTTAAAGCTTTCTAATTCATTAATCCAATTTAGGAAAAGGATAATGAAATCAAATCTAATTTAAAATTAAATTATACTTAAATTTAGGAACTTTTATAATTTAGTTATGTTAATTTAGGAAAATATTTGAAATTCAAATAGAGTTAAATTTTTCCCCAAATTATGTAGGCTAATTTAGGTAGGTAACAATGATGATTGAAATCATCATTAAGAGGGAAAAGGATGGGGTGGCCGGTGGCTAGGAGGGGTGATATGGAAGGGAGGCTGGTCGTTGTGGGGCTTGGCCGGTGGCTATAGAAGGGAGAGGGGATAAGGGGGTCAGCGGATAGGGGGAGAGATGTGGGTGGCTGGCGGTTTGAAGCAAGGTGAAGAGGTGACCAGCGTGTTGAGCAAGGGGAAGGATTGGCCGACGGCTTGAAGCAATGGGAAAGAGTCGAACCACGAGCCTGAGACACTTATGGCGACTTGTGGGTATTTCTTTTGCCACTGAAGAACTCACGAGCTCTTAAGAAGAAAACCAGAAATATTTTTTCATTAATTAAGCATTAAATATAATTCAAGACTAAGGGCCTTATATATAGGCCTCAAAAAGAAAGAAAGAAGCAACTGAAATGCCCTCAGGGCTACAACTCAAACAATACGTAAGGGTACAATCATCAAACCTAAAATAAAATTAGCTAATACATGAAATATATAAAAAATATTGACTCCTAATCGTAGCCATCTATCTCCGATTTTTCTAGTGATAAACATTTCGAAATCTCCTATTGATGTGCTCATCAGAAAGTTTAGTTGAAAAACACTTAAAAAAGTGATCGAGGATGTTTATAGATGTGACATGGAGTTTTGAGGATTTTCCAAGGGGTTTAAGGCTGGGGAAGTAAACCTAAAATTTGGTCATAAATGGCTTAGTTTGGAAAAATTGATGTTATGCCTAATTTCTTTGAAGAATTCACATGTGGCTATATTACTTTGTTTATGATGAGAAGAGAAGTAGCATAATTAGAGAAAAAGAAAAAAAAAAAAGAAAAAGAACTTTGGATCTTCAAAAAATTTAGAAGAAAAAAAAGAAAAGCCCTCATGAAAAGTTTCAACTCTTAGCCCCCAAGTTCAATAAATGATGAGAAAGGCTTTCAAAATTCAATCCAATCTTTAATAATAATAATTTATACATTTAAATGACACTTCCTCTTAGGGTTAAGAGTTGGAGGTGGTTGCTTATTGAATGGTGGAGAGTGGAGGTTGGTCCTTGTTTGGAGGATGCTCATGCGACACCTTAATTGACTTGAAATGACTAAGAATATGTCATGCCTATACCTCCTTGAAGTGTATGTGATAACCAAATTATCATTTTTTGCATAGTGTGATAGAATTATGAAATTATTTGCTTTTGAAGGTCCCTCGATGCTCTTGAACCTCCAATATAACTTTGATTGTCCCTCCAAACAACACAAACAAAGAAAACAATATATTGCCCTACATTTTGGTCCTTCACAATTAAATTTTTTTCATAGATTTTATGATAGGCTTATGATGCTTTGTGTCAATATGATTGCCTTCTGAACGATTTATTTCTTGTAGAACAAGTTGAGGATTTTCATTAAATGTAAATTTATTATTTATTACAATACATAAGGTAGGAAGCTAGACTTCTAATGGAAGGACTAACTCAACCCTAAATATCAAAGTTAATGGCGTGGATTGAGTTGATGTGCTATATATGATCCTATAATCTCACAAAGCTTTGGCTACCTACTTATGAAACTTACATTTATTTCCATTCAAAAAATTTCTTTGAAACTAAATTAATGTATTATTGAAAGCTTTAGTCAATCCATTAGCTCCATAATAATAAATAGTGGGGTATCACAATCTAAATTATGACTTTGTACAAATTTATTAATATTTATATTTTCAAAATTTTTACCATTAGCATATATGATCCAA